CACTTATGTGACTGCCCCCTCGGAGACATCCACGTCTATACCATCACCCCGTCACCCGCATCAAAAGTTACCTTTAGGGGCCCCTGGAGGGCTCAGTGGCTAAGCATCTGCCTTTGGCTCAGGGTGTGATCCCGGGGTCCTGGGATCGAGTCCCGATGGGGAGCCTGCTTCTCCCTCTGCATATGTCTCTACCTCTCTCTGTGTGTCCCTCATGAATAAATAAGTAAAATCTCAAAAAAAAAAAGCCACCTTTATTAAAACTGGTTACCAATTAGGTAGGTTAAATAAATTGGTTTAACTAACATTTAAAAAAATGATAACAAAGAGTTTTCTCCCCAAGTTTTTTTTTCTCCCCAAGTTTATCTGATTCCTACCTTTCATTCCTCTTTCCCCATGTGTGTATGAGTTGGGTTCCTACTGATTTTGAACCCATATAATGTAGATGAAAGATAGGAATCCTTAGTCCTCTCAGCTGCAAGTATCTTCCCCAGTGTTTAGGGTGCTTTGGCTTATGATCTTTCTTTACAATTATAATATGGAATTTAGTTAAATCCATTAATCTTTGACTTTATCATTTTTCATTATTTATTCTTGAACGCCACCCCCCTCCCCCTTAAAACTGTTAGGTATTATTTATCTGTATTTTAGTGAGGGTGTAGTGGTTTGGGTCTCACTGGGCTGTTTTCTCTGCATGTTCCTTGGTGCTGGCGTGATGAGGCTTTGCTCACACGAGTCTTCTCCCTGCAGATGCCTCACTGCGCTGGGCCTGGCCCTGCCCCTGGCCGGGACTGTCTACGAGGCAGCCAGGCGGAGGGGGTCTGATGGCCGGCCTCCCCGCTGCCTCCAGCCACCGACCCAAGTCTGCCTTTGAGAGAGATGCAGAGGACTGAACTGAGACACGGAGCAGGGTGCCTGGCCCAGCCCTCACTATCAGGAACCCCAAGCAGAGGAAAAGGTAGGCACTCTAAGAACCTAAGGCCACTCACGAGAGGTGACTCAGACGAGTTGCAGTCAGAAAATAAATACTTCGGTGCTGGAATCTAGTGAAAGCCCAGCAGCTTCCAAATGCCAATGTGGAGGTTGGGTCTCTGCTCTTTACAATCCCATCTTTGTTTGCTGTCAAAGTGTTGAGGCGAGGTCACTAAAAATGCTGCTTTCTTTCTTGGGTACAATTATCCAGTGTCCTTTGTGCTCCCCAATGACTAGGTCGGAACAGAGCTTGGGTTTCACTGGAGTAATCCTTTAAAGGACAATCCCATGATCCCAGTGCCTATTTGCAGTGTCACAGCTACGCAGATGACTCACAGAACCTTCCTGGCATCACTAAGGTAAAGGATTTACGTGTCAATCGAAGCCAGGGGAGTCATTGTGCAACCAGTTAGAGCCTGGCAGGGGCAGCTGAACCAGGACCAGATAACCAACCCACTTAACGAAGAGCGAGCTGGACCGCAGTGAGCAGGTGGCCGCCTTGCGTTGGGTTGTGGTTAAAAGTCAAATGCATTTCCCTCATTTCCGCCTGCCCATATGGCGAGGCAAAGACCACACACCCCCTCTGAAATAAGAATAGCGTCCCCGTGCGAACATCTTTAGAATATGGGGAATCACGTCCAGCAGAGCCCCTGGAGGGGCACGGAGCTGACCTTCCCTTACTCCACCTAAGAGGATAAAAAAGACACAACTTCAGTGACCAGGCCAACAGATTATGACTATGTGATCGAGTAGCTTCAGGCAGCATGTCCACCTGCACAACGGAGGGCACAGTGATGATTTGATCAGATCCTCTGGATCTTCAGGCAAAGACAAAAGCGAATGTTAACACCACCACAAACTCCCAACAAGGAAAGCAACACAAAGCACGCTTTGTGTCAGGATGACATAATAGAAGAGCTGAGAATCCTCACCCTCCTTCACGTGTCCGAGGGCGCCCAGGGGCCTGGCGGGTCCCCGGCACCCATCATCCTCAAGGGAAGTGCTCATTGTTCAGCTCCTGCACGGGGGTCAGTCCCTGGGCTGCTTCGTAATTTCTACCCACTGGCCATCATTTTGCCCTATTTTTACTCCATCACATCAGATACCGGGGACGGATACAATGGGCCCCCGCCACGTCTCAGAGTTCCCTGCTCACTCCTCATGTGACATGGCTCAAGAACTCGGCTACCTGGCTGCCACCTAGAAGGTTCCATGGACATGACACAAACAGCACATGTTGAGTGACCCCCCCACCCCTTGGTCAAACCTGCCTTGGTTTCTAACTCTGCCCTTGGTCAGGTTGTTTGACCTCTAGGAGCTCAGTCTCCACGTGCATAAAACAGGGGCATACGCTGGGATTTGTTGAAGGAAGTAAATGAGATAATGTGAGCTGTCCTCCTCCTGATTCATTGCTCATTTCTTCATTCTCTTCCCTTAAGCCAGAAGGAGGAAAGGGTAGCAGCTTTAATTGGCCAAGACCTCTCACTAACACTGACCTTGCTGAGGTCAGCTGGGTCCCGGGCACCTGCCACATGCTTCTGGTTGTCAGACTGGGGGTGAGCCTACAGTCACCAAGATTCACCCTCGGCTAGCATTCGGGGGAAGGCTGAGCCTCAGAACCTGATGTTCTAAGGCCAGATCGCAGGATTTCAGGCAGGCACACCTGGTATGGTGTCAGGAATGAGCCCCTGAGACGTTAGGGATTTAGCCCAAAATAGGGTTGTCTGTGATCGGGGCGGGAGGGTCATGTTAGCTTTTTCAGCAATGACATTTAAGTGTGGCTTCAAAAAGGCATATTGGGGGGCGGTGTCTTCTGTGTTCTGTTGCTGTAGCAATTTTTTTTTGTATTTAATACCATCAGAATAAAATATCACATCTTGAACGGTTGGAAATAAAAATCAAGGCGGAGAGAGCCCTAGGGTTGGCATCATTTTCCCTCTCCACGTTTACACTCACCAGCGAGTCAAATCAACATAAGACTACCGTGTCTTCTCAAAGTTCAGAGCCAAATTGGGTATTTCAGATTCCTGGTTCTTTATCCTCCAAATAATCATTGCATTCGCTTAGGGCAGTTTCCTGTTACATGAGTCTGTCCTTTCCTACTTAGATGACAAAAATATGAGTTCGTGTTTGAGGAAGTTTCCATGAAGTAAATAGCTTGGATTTCAGCCCTTGAAACAGGGCTCTTGGTCTGTGGTCCATTGCTTGAGGTGGGCTCACCTCAAGTAATAATCACTGAGAAAATCCAAAGGGGCCACCAGGCTTCCCAAAGCACCGTCACACCCCACGGTTCTCAAACTTTGGGGAGCATTGGAAGCACCTGGAGGGCTTCAGCACATCACAGCACAGATTGCTGGGCCTGGCCCTCGAAGATTCTGAGACAGTAGGTCTGGGATGAGACCTGGGACTGTGCCTTTCTAACAGGTCCCCAGGTGATGCTGAAGCTGCTGGACTGGTGAGCCCTCACTTTGAGAACCACAGATCACATCCTCCCCATGCCCCTTTGGCTCATCCTTTCCATCTATGAATGGGTACACGGGGCCCAGAGGCCGTCCTCCCCACAGGACCAGTTATTTTCAGACAACGTTAGAAGCTGCTACTAGTTAAGTTCACCCACAAGTAGAATTTAGATAGAAAAAAGTCAAATTGTAGCAAAACGTATTCAGTGCTCGCTTGCCAAGGTGGACATCAGGCCAGATGTTTGACAGACGTGCTCAAAGGCTCACAGCAGCACCGCCAAAAAGCGTGCTCGGCTTAAAAGTGAGGGAAGGGGTCCTGAGAGGTGAAGAGTGAGCTGGGGCCGGGCAGAGAGAGCCCGACCACATCTCTCCGCTGTGGCAGGTGGCTTCTCAGGGCTGGGCCAGGTGCCGGTGAGCGCAAATGCCTCCAGCCGACGGAGCAAGCTCCGAGCCTCCGGGCAGGCCCACGGTGGGAGTGACCCCAGTGGAGAGACTCCTATGGACAGCTGGAACCTCAGAAATGTGCAGAAATGGGCAATTTCATCCTCCCATTTAAGAAATTGGCGCCCCGTGACAAGCCAGATCTCATTTGTAAAGAAGTCTCAATCCTACACCCTTGCACCTGCAATGTTTAAGCACCAAAGCTACATCCAAGAGGAAAATAGGAGTCTCGTGGAGCAGCTCGCTCAAGCCTTCCTTCGGAGGTGCCGGCTCGCGATTCCAGCTATTTGGAATTAATCTAAATGCATCCAATTAATTTTTTTTAAATGAGAAGACATGAGTTAGGAGAAGGGATTAGAGCAGCAGGGCTTAATGTAGTGAGTCGAGCAGGTGTGCTAGCATCTCGTTTGTTCTTCACGATATTCCTACGGTTGCAAGATCTACGTCGATTCCCGTTTTGTAGATGTGGAAACATAGGCTGGAGAATTTAATTCACTTGCCAGAGGTTACGGAGCATCCAACAAAGGACAGCCAGAGTCAGAGCCACGAGCAGCCAACTATAAAGCCAGCATCCTTAGCTGCTGTACCACCTGCCCCTGTTCTCACACCTGTACTTGACAGGTAGGGATGCTGTTTGCAAGTAGTTCGTTCTTGGGAGGACGGAAGAAATGCCATTGTCAAGTGAAATGCTGGCTTTATGGAGCATGTGGTTTCTGAAGGATGCCTAAGTTCTCTTCCCCACCCTCCTCCAACCCCCCACTTTTGTCCAACAGGACTGGGGTCAGGTGTTGGCATCCCGGGGGCCTGAGCTCGGTTAGCATATTCTGTGCGTGGCAGTGTGGACACCAACGTCAAATCGGGCACGTTAGGGAAAAGGAGGGAGACCACACCCAAAGGTGCACAGATAGATCAAGAGGGGGCCGTGAAGCACGGGGTGGAGCAGTCCAGGGCCACAGCAAAGGAGTGTCCGCGTGACAGCCAGGATCACTGGTGTGTGTGTTTTGACTCCTGTTTGCGGGCCAGCGTGTGGGCTGGTCTGGCTCTCAGCGTGGCCTGTAATACCTGTGCTCTTGTCCAGGGTTTTTAGGAGCCACGGGGCGTGCGCTGACATGCTTTTCTTGGCAGAAGAACATGCTGGCCATCTGGACCACAAGGACGCCAAGAAGCACGTGCTCTGCGCTGAATGGCATCCGAGTTCTGAGCCTCCTCTGGATCTTGTCGGGGCACACCAGTCAGATGACTGCGTGGCTGTCTTTGGGTGAGGAGGACTGATGGGTCTTTGTGAGCAGTCGAGGAAGAGAGATGCTTTCAAGTGAGGGGAGCACGCTGGGCCTCCAGACGTGAGGCTGCAGCCTTCCTCGGTTTTAGAGACAGAGCCGGGACCGCCCACGAGTGAGTTTTCCAGGCCAACAGGCCGGTGCCTGTGGTTGCATTACCTCCTCCCGAGTGTGAACCAGGCACCTGATTACCAGGTGAGCAGTGATGCCTGAGGATTGTACGTTCGTTGTCCAGAGAGCTGGGTTCCTTCTAGTGATGATTAACGAGGCCAGAAACGAACGCTTCCTTCTCCTGGAAAAACAGGCATAAATAAGGATTGTGCGCTGGTGTTACACGAGCGTTTCTCGGCCCTCCGCCGGTTGCCTCCCTGGTGGAAGGCCGCCAGCAGCAGCAACCCTGCGTAAGCGTGGTCAGCGTTGAGGGGAAGGCCAGCCTGGGGGGGCTTGAAGGACCCCCTGGGGGATCGGCACCCAGTCCGTGGGCAGGCAATGCAGCTGGGGCCCCCGAGTGGCCGTGGGCACCGTGAGAGCAGGAAGCAGCTCAAAGCCTTGGTCACGGTTCCACGGTGCTCATCACCACCTCCAATGCCAATCTACCTTCTCCTCTTTTTTTTTTTATAAGATTTTATTTACTTATTTGACAAGAGGGAGCACTAGTGGGGGATGCTGTAGGCAGAGGGAGAGGGAGAAGCAGGTGACTCCCCACTGAGCAGGGAGCCCGACTCGGGCCTTGATCCCAGGACCCCGGGATCACGACCCAAGCCAAAGGCAACTGTCTAACCAACTGGCCACCCAGGCGCTCCTACCTTCTCCTCTTAAGTTGTGGGGTTGCCCAAAATCCCCTTGATGCTGTGAAAGCTGAAGGCATTCCTCTTGGTTTTTTGAAGACATAAATCACATGACTTTCTTCCGTGAAACCAAGACACTGTTTTTATGTTTGTTGCAGATAATGTGCTCGAGTGGAAGACCAGAGTGCTTAAAAACCCACTGTACCTTTATTCTCGGAGTGGCCCGTTCTATCTTGGGGTTGACACATTTTTCCTGATCAGGTAATAGGGTGTTTTCTCTGCTACTGTACGTGTCTCTGTTTGTCGGGGGACGGGTGCATGCCTGGGACGCCATTATCACTTTAGTGAGAAAAACCGAATGACTCCTATTTATTTCCTCACCTGGCCTTTGCTTCTGTCCAACTGTGGATAGTACTGCTGTCATAAGCTCCTCTCTTTTGTATCTTCAGTTTATTAAATGAGTTAGAATGGTTCTCTGAATTTTTTTTCCAAAAGGTGGTTTTATTTGAATCAAAATTGATTATTTCAGTGGTTCTCAAATTCTGGCCCATGGACTGATGAAAATCCGTGATAAAGTTGACAGTTCTCACTAGAGTGAAGTGTGAACAAATATGATGTGACATTTCATGAAGCTATCTTTATTTAATTTAACTACTAGGAGGTACATCTTCTTAATTGTGTGATAAATGTCAGGCACCATGTTGAGGGCTGCCGCATTACCTTGCTTAATCCTAACGATGTCCCCATACAGTGGGGACCACTGTTAAAATCCCCATTTTCTTCTCTTTTTGTTGCTAAGGTGAAATTCACATGATAAAATTAAGCGCCTCAAGTGAACAATTCAGTGGCATCTAGCACATTTCCAGGATTGCACAACCACCCCTTCTAACTAGTTCCAACACACTTTCAACATCCCCAAAGGAAACCTCATACCCACTCAGCAGTTATTTCCTAACCCATTCCCCACCCCAGTTCCTAGAAATCTGCTCTCTGAATCCGTGCATTTACCTCTTCTAGATATTTTGTACCAATGGGCCACATAATGCTTGGCCTTTCTGTGCCTGGCTTCCTTTATTTAGCATGATGTTCCAGACACTCAGGTGCATCGTAGCATGTATCAACACTTCATTCCTTTTCATGACCAAATAATATTCCATTGTATGGATAGACTACAAAATCTCTACCTCCAAGGTAAGACCTCTGAGACTGAGGGAGATGTTCCTGGTGTGGACCCGCTATCCAAACCCAGGCAATCTGACTCTAGAGTCTATATTCTTAGTCCCCATGCTGACCTGCCTTGATCTCTTTGGGGATCAATGCCTCTTCCTTCACAGGGAGATAGTGATAGTAGGTGGCAGCTGTTTTTATCAAATGCTAAGCATTCATCCATCCAACCATGATCTACTGAGTCCCTGTTTGCGGGGCATCGTTCTAGTCGCTGAGGGAGACAACCAAGGATAAAACAAACAGGCACTTCTTATGGGGTTTCCAGTAATGTGTGTGTGTGTGTGTGTGTGTGTGTCCAGCAATAAGCAAGCAAATAAACAAGAAAAAATGTTTTAGTAATAAATACTAGGAAAGAATAGAACAGTGGTTGTAGAGAGCAAGTGGGTAACTATTTCGACTCATCGGAGAAGGGGCTACTGGGTCTAAGTGGCAAGGGGAGCTGGCCACGGGAAAATCCAGGATGAGAAGGTTTCAGGCAAAGGGAGCCACTAGTGCAGAAGGGCTAAGGAGGGAGAGAGAGAGAGAACGTGTGTGTCTTGTTAAAGGAGCAGAAAGAAGGCTGAAGCATAGCGAAGGTGGGGAGAGAGGGAAGAGCGAGCCAGGCAGGGCCAGACCCCAGGGGACCACGTAGCGAGACTCAGGAGTTTGGGCTTCGGCTTGGTGGGACAAGAAGTAGTTGGACAGTCTCCTTTGAAAAGCCGTATCATCTGACATTTGAAAAGCGATCACTCTGGCTCCTGTGTTAGTAACAGGCCTAAGGATAAAGGCCAGGATGGAAGTAGGGAGGTCAGTCTGGTGACCTTGGCTGTGCTTTGGATGAGAAACAATGAGGGGACGGAGGAGGGGTGAGGGACAGAGGGAGAAGGTCAGGGTCAAGATAGGCTTTAGAGGCAGAAGCAGGCCTGTTGCTCATCGGACGAGATGTGTCCGATGTCCTCTGTCTAGAGGGGACCGGAGAGGGATTTCTGGTGTGGCTGGGTGACCGAGGTCACGGAGGTGACACTCACTGAGTGGAGAGCCTGGAGGAGAAGCCGGGTTTGGAGGGAGACTCAGGCTTTCTGCTGGAATCGAACGGCCCGACCAAGTGAAGATAAAGGGAGCCCGTAGACGCCCACGTCGAGGTGTCGGCAGGGCTCTGCAACCTGGAGCTCAGTGGGAATGTCGAGGCCGGAGAGGGCGACCTTGGAGCCCTTGAGTTACGGGCAGCGTGGAGGCCACAGAGCTGGGCAGATTGTGCCGGATGGAGAGCAGAACGGCAGGTCAGGCCTGGGTGCCAAGGCCTCGGCCGCCCGGCCTGTAGGCTCCCTAGGGAGTCTGAGAAGGAGTGACCGGTGAAATGTGAGGACAAGTGCGACGCTGCAGGCACCAGGGAGCCAAGACAGGAAAGTGGTTCACGAAGGATGGGCGTCATCAACAGGCCCGCGGGACGGGCATTGACTGTGCACAGAGGCGACCTCTGTGTATGGCTCTGGGGTGGAGGCTACTGGGGTCCCCGTCTGGGGCCCGGGGGTGGCCGCCTGGCAGGTGCAGCAAGGACGGCGTGGCGTGGAGGTGCTGACCGTGGCGGGGGTGCCGTGCCGTGTGTGGGGAGGGTCCCAGGAAAGACAGGGGACCCCACCACATACCTGCATCACATGCTGGGAAGGACCCAAGGGAAGCGCCGCGCAGCTGCACAGTGCTGCTGGCCAGAGGGCCCGCAGCCAGCTTCTGATAAGGGCCTCGTAGTTGGCTTTTTTTTTTTATTAAAATTTTATTTTTTTAATTTTAAAGTCTATGATATTCTTGGGACGCCTGAGTGGCTCAGCGGTTGAGTCTCTGCCTTTGGCCAGGGCGTGATCCTGGAGTCCCAGGATCAAGTCCCATGTCGGGCTCCCTGCATGGAGCCTGCTTCTCCCTCTGCCTGTGTCTTTACCTCTGTGTGTGTGTCTCATGAATAAATAAATAAAATCTTGAAAAAAAAAAAGGTCTATGAAATTCCAAAGTGTACGAGCCACCAGACTAGGAGGGAGCTAGCCCACAAACAGGGCGGAGCGTCAGGAGGGGGCCTACTGACCACCAGTTTCTGCAGCACTTACCTACTGGGTGACTTGCTCCCCGTCCTCCTCCAGATGTTCACCCAAACGTTCCCTTCCCAACGACTCCTTGATTGTTCTCCTTGTCGGAAACGGACCCACCAGCACTCTTAGCTTCATTTTGCCTGATTTATTTTTTCTCTTTATCATACATGCTCAGGGATGCCACTTACTTATTACTTCATATTAATCATCTGTGTCTCCCCACTGGAACATAAGGTAGGACTTTTTCTGCTTTGTGTCCTGCTGACATTGGTGCCTTAAATCAGTGTCAAGTGTATTGCTCAATAAGTAGCTGTTAAAATTATTTTCTTTCTTTCCTTTTTTGTTTTGGAAATTATTTCTTAATTATTTTAGCCCTAGATTCTGGTGTGATAGTTTCTTGGGGTTAATGGAGAAAAAGTAGGGTACAGAACGAGCTGAGACCAGGCCACCAGGGCAGCAGCTCATGCTAGGAGGTGGCCAGGGTGACAGTAGAATGGTCCACACAGGCAAGGGTCAGAGGCCACTGTCTGCAGTGATATGGGAACCACTAGGCACCAGACTTTCCAAGGGGGCACAGCTGAGTCTAACCGGGCAGGCAAAGCCCAACTGCAGGGACCTGGTGGGTGGGAAGTCTGCCCCGGAGACAGCTTTCAAAGTCTGGACCTCTGTTCCCTGCAAGAGGACTGTAAGAACAAGGCAAAACAAGACACCAAATGCTGGATGGGACTGAGTGGCACAGCTCCAAGCCGTGGGAGGGAGGCTGGCAAGGACGGATCGGGATGGCTGGAAGCAAAGCCAAAACTCAAGCTGGAGGACTGCCACCAGGAGGGAAGAATGAAGGCCTGAGAAGCCACTGGTCGTGCCTGGACTATCGGTGTGAATCTCTGAGACGACAGGGACGCCATTGGGTCAGCCCTGAGAATCCCAAAACACAGGCCAGGGCCCTGAAATTTCAGATGTTCAAGAAAATGACAAATATGCGCCCCTTTATTGTAAAGACTACTTATCTGACTCCTGGGTCGCTCTGGGGCCTGGGAAGTGCCGGGCCTTTTATCGGTTCTCAGAATATAGCCCCAATGCAGTTGTTCCAGCATCGTCTGGAAGGCTGTTAGAAATGCAGATTCTCGGGCCCCGTCCCAGACCCACTGAATCATACAGTCTGGGCTGTAAGAAGCCCTTGGGGTGCTTCTGGCTGCTGCCATCTGCTAAAGTCTGCGAACCACGGTGGGAGGAGCTGAGGAAGGCAGAGTGGAAACCAGCAGCTCCTGACCCAGCCTAAGAGATCAAGGCATCCATCTCTTTTCCCTCTTCTCTTTCTCATCGCCTGGCTCAGGAACTATTTTTTTCCCCCTCCAGTATTCTTTTTTTTTTTTTTTTTTTTTTTTACTTAGAAAGTGCACATTGGAGGTGCCAGTGTGGCTCAATCGGAAGAGCAGGTGATTCTTGATCTCAGGGTCGTGAGTTCAAGCCCCACATTGGGGGGGGGGGGTGGCGGGTAGAGATGACTTAAATAAATAAACTTTAACAAATAGAAAGTAAAAAAGAAAGTGCACATATTCTCTTAAATAAAATTTTCATTTGGACAATGGACATATTACTGAGTGATTCCTTGTATTGCCATCACGCTAAGAGCCTACGATTTTTTTTTAATTACATTTACTAAACCTAGGAGGTTGGAATGAATATCATGCCCGTTTTTACAGCTGGGAAAGTTGATGTGCAGAGATGAAATAACTTGCCCCAGTCCCCCCAGCTAGGAAAGTGAGAGTCAGAATGGAAGCATAATGTCTGTTTTGTGTCCGAAGTGTGTCTTACCCACCATGTCACTCATATGTTTACATAGTACAACTAAAGACTTCTGACTCTCCCTGGTGACAGTTGGGGGGGTCCCTTTCTAGCCCTCTGACTTCGCGCATCTCTACTGCGGGATTGTACTCTTCCCCAGTGGGGTCAGGTCTCTGGGTCTTCCCGGCATCCTATAGCGACTTCTGCTCACAGCCTGTTTCCTACCAGCCTTTCTCATTGTCCTCTGGATGAACTGAATGGCTGGATGGTGCAGGCCCGCAGAGAGGGACCCCGATTCATTCTTTTCTGAAATGAAGAGGAGGCCGGAATTGGAATTGGCTGTCCTACTTCCACATCCCAGTGCTCCCTTCAACATGTCTCTATCAATTGTGTCCTATTATAGTGAACCCAACTTGCTGCGTTTCAAAAGAAAATCGTGCTGGCAGAGAACAAAAACATTCTCTCACCCTCCCCGATCCCTTCCAACACACACACACAGCCTTCTTTTGCAATAGGAAATGCATTCGTTCCTTAGGGAAACACCCACAAGGATCATTGGCATGAATGTCGAAAGGTCAGGAAACTCACTCACAAACTTGCTTGTCATCAAGTTGGCACTCAAGAGACATAGCCTGTTTCTTTAGTTGAACATGCTGGGGAACACATTTGTCATCAGGATGTGTTGGTTGAGAATCTTGGGCAACCTCACTGAGTCTTTGAGCCTCTATTGCCCTACAAGGTAAGCAGGGATGGTAATATCTTCCCTTTTACCAATCACTCACTCAACAAACATTTATTGTCAAGTAGTTTGGTATTGCCCTAGAAGCAAAAGCAACACCATTAGTGAAAGTACTTTGAAAATGATGTGGTACTGGGACGCCTGGGAGGCTCAGCAGGTGAGTGTCCGCCTTCGGCTCAGGGTGTGATCCCGGGGTCCTGGGATGGAGTCCAGAATTGGGCTCCCTGTGGGGAGCCTGCTTCTCCCTCTGCCTGTGTCTCTGTCTCTCTCTGTGTCTCTCATGAATAAATAAATAAAATCTTAAAAAAAAAAGAAAACAGTGTGGCCCTATAGAAGTAGAGGGCTTTGGATGTTATTACTTCAAAAGGCTAATGTGGTAGCTCTTAGAGTGGTTCACCAAATATTTCTGGTTCTCTTTCTTCCAGTCCCTTGATAACAGTCTACTACTTCCGGCCCCACTGCAGTTGGGTGGGAATGAGGTCTGGCCGATGATGGATACCTGGTGTTGCCAGTATGCTAAAGAGCTTTAAACATGTCACTTCTGGGCTAGAACATTTATTTTTTTATTTTTATTTTTTTAAAGATTTATTTATTTATTTATTCATGAGAGGCACACAGAGAAGCAGAGACATAGGCAGAAGGAGAAGCAAGCTCCATGTAGGGTGCCTGACATGGGACTTGATCCCAGGACCATAGGATCATGACTTGAGCTAAAGGCAGATGCTCAAGAGCTGAGCCACCCAGGTGTCCCTGGGCTAGAACCTTCCATTGCTGGTTTGAAGCCCTCCCACATGTTCTTGTTCTCTGCCCTGGTTGCTGGTGACCTTTTGGATAGTGACTGCTCCCCCAGCCTGGGTCTCCCGGTGAGGAAGATGCTGACCTCAAGGTAACTGGCCATGGGCATGCGGCCTAAGCATGATAAAAACCTATGGTTTTAGTATTGGAGGTATCTTGTTACTACAGCATAACTTACTGTAACGTGATAGAGAGCCAAGTTAACCATCCAGTGAACTGCATCACTGGTAAGTTCCTCCTGTGATTGGTCTTCTCTCTCTCTCTCAGTGGCTGGTTAAGTGCAAGGTCATTTTTAAAGATACACCAGGATTCAGACCAAGGAAGAACCCTCAGCGTCATATTCAGATATGTCCTCAGCCGCCTTACAAGGTAGGTCTCTTTGTATAATCTCTTTTTTAAAAAAGACTATTTATTTATTTATTATTTATTTATTTGAGAGAGAAAGAAAGAGAGAGCATAAGCAGGGGGAGCTGCAGGCAGAGGGAGAGGGAGAAGTAGGCCCCCGAAGAGCAGGGACCCCGATGCAGGACCCGATCCCACGACCCTGGGGTCATGACCTGAGCCGAAGGCAGATGCTCAACTGACTGAGCCACCCAGGCACCCTGTATAATTTCTTAATTAATTATTACTGTGTAACAATTTATTACTTTTTGGTCTTCAGCCCTCTTTTGAAATAATTTTCAAAGAGAAACCGAGAGACATAGTTTTCTTCATAAAATTGATTTTTGCTGGCTTAATGGCTTTTGTCAGTGGAAGATTCCAATTTTCCTGGTATTTATCCTAAGAGAATTTGATCTATATTAAAACAGCCTTCTTCCTCAGCTGATGGGCAGCAGATTTCAATAAATGTACTGTCAGTTTTCCCTGGAATGTGTATTCAACAGGGGAATGTGCATGGCTCCTCTAAATTGGTAGTAATGGGTCCTGTAAGTCAGAGTACTAATGGTAATGATAAAAAATAAAATAAGATCGAACAAGGAGAGGGGCAGGTGAAGCTTGAGACGGTGGTCCTTCTGCTCAGAGGGAGGCAGGGAGGACATGGTCCTCTTCACCAATGTGTGGGTGGTTGGGGTGGGAGGGGATACAGTATCAGGACGGAGTATGGAGTCCGTGGGGTGGCAGACAGGTAGTGATGCAATCAGACCCACGGAGCGTAGGGAGAAGAGGAGACGTCAACTCAACCCTTTTGTATTTTCTCTAAGTCGTGGGATGTTGCTGGCTGAGCTGGAGCCAGCTCTTGCTACTGATGGTCTATGCCTCTCCTGCTACGCTTCATTGTCACGAAACAGGAAGGGGGGACAGTCTTCTGACCTAGTAAAATGCAGTAGGTAAGATCTGACTCTGCTCAATCCCCCACCAGCTGTGTGACCTTGAGAAAGTGGCTCCACCTTTCTGTGTTGGAGTTTTCTCATCTCAAAAAATGAGAAGAATAATGGCACTCATGCCATTGGACTCTTGTGAGGATTAAATGAGAGAACGTGTGCTAAGAACTTAGAAAAAATGTGTGACACCCAGTAAGCCTTCCATAAGTACAAGCTGCCATCATTACTGTGGTTGCTACTTGCACCTTGTAACTTTTCTGGTAAATGGGGTAAGAATGAGTCTGAGCTAAGAATAGACCTCTACTGATTTCTTTTCACTATGACCTTTGTGGTTTCTTCCAAATGCTACTAAATCCAGCCCCTTGACCTGGACACTTGGCAGAGTGCTTAGTCTTTCAATATCTTTTGGGTCCTTGGCACTGGGTTTAGCTTATTCTACCCTGGGGTCTTCTGTAGAGGGACTGGCATTCAGACTGGAGTTTCTTAGTGGGGGATGTTGATGGGTGGGGTGGGGCGTGGGATCCAATGGCACACTGGGTTCTGGCTGGGAACCCTGCTTCAGAAGGAAAGTCCTAGAGCGGGGGACTGAAGAGTGGGATGTGTTTTAGCCGGCAGATACAGCAGTAGCGGGGGAGAGAGAGAGAGAGAGAGAGAGAGAGAGAGAGAGAGAGTGTGTGTGTGTGTGTGTGTGTGTGTGAGGCCTCATGGGGCAAGATGCCTGTGAGGATCCCATGATTAAATTGTTGCCATATCTGGACAGGACAGCAGATCTGGACTGGTGTTGGCATTGGGAATGGAGAGAGGGCAAGTCAGGAACACTCAGATTTTCTAGCCTGAACAACATGGTGGATGGTGGTAATGCTCTTGAGATAGGGAGCTCTGGGAAGGTGGCAGATGGGAGCCAGGAAGAAAGAGTCCAACCTAGGACAAAATTTTGTTGAAAAATTAGAGGAAGTAGGGATGCCTGGGTGTCTCAGTGGTTGAGTGTCTGCCTTTGGCTCAGGGTGTGATCCTGGAGTCCCGGGATAGGTCCTAATCGGGCTCCCTGCATGGGCCCTGTTTCTCCCTCTGCCTGTGTCTCTGCCTCTCTCTGTGTCTCTCGTGAATAAATAAGTAAAATCTTTAAAAACCAAAAAAAGAAAAGAAAATAAAAATTAGAAGAAGCATCACCAACTGAGTTTGAACTCACTCTGTGAGGTAAACCCAGTGAGAAAGCAGCCACGCTCCTAGCCTGTTTGATATTCTCATTCTTGTTATTATTCACTTACGATGGATTGCTTGCCTACTTACCTGGAAGTAAGATCATTTGTTCACTCTCTCCTCTGTATTTGAGGACCCCCCGTGTGCCAGGCGCTGTTGTAAGCCCTGGGGACTCAGCACTCGATGACCATGCCGGTGCCTTCTGGCCTGAGGGTTATGTTCTAGAGAATAGAGACAGGCAGTCAACAAATAAACAGGCAACATTAAGTTGCAACGTGCAAATACATTTATTACAGGTCAGTGATGAGAAGTGTCACAAAGTGCTAATGTGGAGAGGGAGGCACGATGCAGTCTTCCTCTGGAAGGGTAGTCAGGGAAGGTGACATTTGTCAAAGGAAATAAAAGAAGGTTCTATGCAAAGAGAAGGCTGTGATGGAAGAAGGGCCTATATGAGGAGTGGGTGCAGAGAAGGGAACACGGTTGGTGTCTTTGAGAGGTGACGCCTGGGTGGCTCAGCAGTTGAGCGTCTGCCTTCAACCCAGGGCGTGATCCTGGAGTCCCGGGATCTAGTCCCCTGTTGGGCTCCCTGCAGGGAGCCTGCTTCTCTCTCTGCCTCTCTCTCTGTGTCTCTCATGCATAAATAAATACATAATCTTAAAAAAAAAAACAACAACAACAACCCCAGAGAGCCCACCAGAGTGGAGTGAGCAGCACTTGGGGAACAGAAGGAAGTGGGGTCAGGAAGGTGGGGCATGGGCTCCAGGGCCCGGGTTGGGTCGTTCCGGACCTCTTAGCTGCCTTAAGGACTTTCTATTTTATTTGGAGACAAGATGGCTTTGGAGGGTTCCAGAAGGGGAGTGGCACGGTCAGATTTACATTTTCCAAGAATCACTCTGAGAATAGACAGTGAGAGGACAGAGGCAGGGAGGGGAGGCAGCTGGGAACTTTTGCAGCTATAAGAAAATGCAAAAACCCAGCTTCCAGGGGCAAATGAGAACAAAGATTATGTAACTGGAAATGAGGGGAGTAGATGTTCCTGACCCTTAAAACTGTGTGATTATTCCAACCAGGAGCCACATTTTAAAAGTCAGGAGGTAAAAAATAAAATAAAATAAAATAAAATAAAATAAAATAAAATAAAATAAAATAAAATAAAATAAAATAAAATAATAAAATAAAATAAAATAAAATAAATAAAAGTCAGGAGGTTCTTTTTTTTAATATAAGTAAAAAATTTCTGATAAAAATGTCTGTAACAGAAGGTTATGCACTAAAAGTAAGGACACCCAATCCCGTCTCACTCCCCGCAGGCCACCTCTGTTAACAGCTTCTTGTGAATTCTTGCAGATGCTTTCCATGTATTTATATACATTGTTTTTTTTTCTCATTATATGCTGTGCTATTTTGCATGTACCTTTTTTTTTCACTTATTGATTGAATGTTGGTTGTTGGTATGTCTCTGCATGAGAGGACCCACCAAAAAAAAAAAAAAAAAAAAAGAAGAAGAAGAAAGAAAGGACCCATCTTACTGACTTGAAAGGTTGCCTGGGAAGGTGCCGTGTGGGTGGGCCATTGGAGCTCCACCTGTCACTATTAATGGGCATGGCGGTACTTCCAAGTTTTTTTGTTATCTTAAACAATAATGCAATGTCTATACATTTTTGTGCACTTTTCTGAAAGCGTTTTTTTTTAAGATTTTGTTTATTTATTCATAAGAGACACAGAGAGAAAGAGAGGCAGAGACACAAGCAGAGGGAGAAGCAGTCTCCTCGCAGGGAGTCCGACATGGGACTCCATCCTGGGTCTCCAGGGTCACGCCCTGGTCCGAAGGCGGCGCTAAACCGCTGCGCCACCCGGGCTGCCCTCTGAAAGTGTTTATGGGTAAATGCCTACAAGTAGAATTGCTAGTCTGGTGCATCTAACATTTCGATGGGTATTTTCCAATTTACCTTCCCACCTGCTTCTCGTGCTCCTTACAACAGCTGATGTACTTTTTAAACTTTGAAAACTTTGACTTTAAATCTTCCAGAAGCTTGAACAAAAATGAAGAGCACTTACACTTATATGATGCTTTTGAGGTTTCCAACTGTTTTCTTTTTTAAAAAAGATTTTATTTATTTGTTCATGAGAGACACAGAGAGAGAGGCAGAGACAGAGAGAGAGAAGCAGGCTCCCTGTGGGGAGCCCGATGTGGGACTCGATCGCCCTGGGCCGAAGGCTGAGGCTCAACCATTGAGCTACCCAGGTGCCCTCCAACTGTTGTCTCACCCATCTCCTTTGGTTCTCAAAAAAAATCTCAGGATGTGGGAATCATGATTCTTCTTAAAACGACCTGAAAGGGGGGGAATCCCTGGGTGGCTTGGCGGTTTAGCGCCTGCCTTTGGCCCAGGGCATGATCCTGGAGACCCAGGATCGAGTCCCATGTCGGGCTCCCTGCATGGAGTCTGCTTCTCCCTTTGCCTGGGTCTCTCCATCTCTTTCCCTCTCTCTGTGTCTCTCATGAATAAATAAATAAAATATAAAAAAAAAAACTGATCTGAAGGATTACCATTCCCCCCCCCCATTTCCTCTCCAGGTGAAAGAGAGAGAAGTCTTGTAATTTTCTCAGTGTGAAAATTTAGACAAAACTAGAGCACACATCTCTGGAGCCTTGCTCCTCCTCAAGATGGGGCCCACCCCAGCAGGTCTCCTGCCCGCACAGGCCCCACCCCAGAGGCTGCCTGTCGGGGAGGCCCTGCCCCTACCCTGTTCCTTCCAGAGGGCATCTGACCTGAACTCTGGCTCTGAGGGGAGGAGGGGGTTGACTTACTCTCCCCGAGGGAGGTGACAGATGGTGGGGAGAGAGGCTTGGGAAGCGGAGCCCAGGCCTGTAGGAGCAGCTGCGGGGCAGCACGGTCAGATGGCTGATGTGGCAGGGCCCAGGCCCAGGGAGGGCTCTGAGGCTGCTGTCTGAGCCGATCTGGGGAGACGCGTCTTGGCACAGTCGGTGGCCCTTTCTGTCTGACTGTGATCTGCAACTCCAGCCTGCTCCCTGCATGCCCCCAGCCCTCCGGCCTACCAGACACATGCCAGGATGTTATCGTTATGGGGAGGACAGGAGGCCACCAGGTCTGGGGCCCGGGACCAAGCGGAGGCTGGGTGCTGCCCTATGACTCTGCTGGGGGGTGTGCCTGCAGCAGTCCTGCCCTTCCCATCTGTCACCTCCCTGACATGCCCCCTGAGATGTTCGGAGATGCTGCTGGGCCACATGCTGTACTCTGAATTTTGACATGTGTTCTTTTACAAGATGGCTGGGATCATAGCTCACCCAGAATGCCAGGACTGTGTCCCAACCTCACTTCTAAACTGGACACCAGTGATGTCCAATAAGTACCCACCAGACACGTGGCCCATGGCAACGCGTGGCGAGTATGCAGTTTACACACTGGATTCTTAGTCAAAGAAGAAAGGATGTAAAGCAGCTCAGTAATTTTTTAGATTGATTACTTATTGAAATGACAATATTTTGGATTCATTGGGCCACATAAAGTATATTATTAAAATTCGTTGTAGCTATTTCTTTCCACTGACAAATGCGGCTACTAGAAAGTATAAACCAGGTGGCAGGTGTGGCTCTTCTGTTTCTAAAGGACACCTGTGCTTTTCTTCCCCCCATCATTTTTGTAGCTGCTTCAAGTCCTGCTTGGAAGGGGGTAGGGTATGAAGGAAGGGAGGGAGAAATAAAGCAATGAAGGGAGAGAGGAAAAGACAGAGGGAGGGAGGAAAGGTATTGTCCTGGCACCGGGGCAGAGAGGACCGCACATGTCCCATCTCAGCTCTGCTGTATGGCCGGGCCACCTTGGCCAAGTGGCCACAGTTCTCAGAGCTCTAGTGTCCCCATCAGTAGAGCAGAGGTACTATGTCCCTGCCAGGAACCTTCCGAGGCGTAGAGGCATCTGAGAAGCCCTAGCGCGGTGGCCGACACGCACCACTTGCTCAATGATTGAGAGTTTTGCATCGCGGCCCCAGAACCGGCTCATGTGGTAGCCCACGATGCTTTACCCACGAACAGAGGAGCCTCGAGGCGTGGGTGGGTTGCTGGCCTCCCACCCGCACAATGTGCTTTGGAGCCTCTCTGTGGCTCACCCAGGGGACAGAGTGGGACCAGCGCGGAGAGTCACCCTCCCTGGCCTCCACCCCGGCTCTCCCCTGCCAGGTTACAGCCTCTGCACATGTATTCCGTGTGCTTGTTGGTTGGATTGTTCTCTCTGGCCCCCTGGGGGCCCGTCTGGGAGGTGCCCAAGTCCCACCTGGATAACTGCCGGCTCGCATGGTGGACAAATCTGCTGCTGCTCAACGATTTCCTGTCCGTCGGGAATGCGGTGAGTCCCAGGTTCTCGGCTGGGGCCAGGCTGGGGGCCGTGAGCAAGCGCGGGGCCTCACTTTACCCGGTTTGGTGAGCTTTCCCAGGACCAGCCCTAGTCTGATGCCCTTTCTTCTGGCATATTCTCCGGAGTAACAGTGAAGCCACGGGAGGGTGGGCTGTGGGCAGGGAGACTAGCCTCCCAGGATGGGTGAGCGTAACCAAACCGTCTGGGCAGGTGCAGCTGCTGTGAAAAGCAGTGGGAGGCAGGGACGGAGCAAAGCAGCGGGCATCTAGGGCCCAGTGGCCTGGCTCCGCTGGGTTCCAGTCTGTGTCACCCCATGGAGATAGGACACTTTCTCCACCTCTACGCAGACGGCCTGTCACTGGGACAGAACATCGCACTGCACCTTTGCTGTGATGAGTTCTTTTCCGCTTCCAGCCAGATGTGGCAGGGCCACCACATCTGCGCACATTGGTTGTGGCCTCCCCAGGGCCCTCCCATCCTCATGAAGACGCTGGAGTAAACGGAAGGGAAATCATTCTGATTAGATCATGTCACTGACTTTTGCATATGCCTTGAAAGCAGGGCTGCAGAGAGAACCACTAAAGTGTGGCTAATCCCTGCACGTGACGACTTACCAAGCGGGTGACTGCCTTCCGTGAGCAGGTGCCCAGCAGCTCGGGCAGGGCGCACATCACAGTCTAACTGCCTTCGGGTGGGTCTGTGACAAGGCCCCGGGAGGACAGGCTGGCTGTTTGCCCAGATGCACACTGGCTTGGCCCATAGGTGAGAATCGGTGGCAAGGATGTGAGCCAGCCCACCGTGGGCCCCTGAGAGCAGATGTGAGGGCCGTCAAGCCGTGAGAATTCACAGATTTCCCCATCAAGGGAACTTCTTCCTAACTGGGACAAGGAAAGCTGTCCCTTCCACCAGATGAGTCTGGTCTCCCTTGGAGTGGGGAGGTGGGGGTGGATCGGATGCAAAAGGAGACTTTTATCTCTGAAGCCCTGGAGAGATTGAAGAAATACAGGTAACTGCCTCGCTTCACACAAACACAGGCAGCCAGCGGACCGACGGGGCTTCAGCCTGCCGATCACCTGTCAGGCATGCGTGGGCACCCTGGGGCTTCCGGAGCCAGGCCTCCATCCTAAATGAGCACGCCCCTCCCCTGGAGTTGGGGAGGGCTGGCAAGGCCCGGAAGAGGGAGCAGCATGGACCCTTCCCACCCCCATGGCACCAAAACGATGACTGCTCCTAACATTCGTGTCATGGGATAGCACTGAGCTCCCACAACCATCCTGGGAGCTTAGCTATTACTGCTTTTTCCAACAAGAGGGAAAACTTGTCTGCATTTCCATCCTGTAAGCTGGCAATGATCACCCCCATCACACAGGCTTGTTAAATGAGTAAATGAGTGAGGTACGTGAAATACCTGTAACCCCAAATTCCTTTGTCTTTCCATGGAAGCGCCCCACCCTCCACCCACAGGTGCCCTGTGGATTCCTCCTCCATCCAGCTCCCGACAGGTTAGAAAATGTGGGGCAGCCCCGGGCACCAGGGGCAGGAGTAACCTCGGCTCCTCTCATTTCAGTGTAATGGTTGGACGTGGTACCTCGCCAATGACTTTCAGTTCCATCTCACCACGCCGGCGATCGTCCTCATCCACAGAAAGTGAGTGTCCCTGCGACAGGAGTGTCGCCCCGTGGGATGTCTCCCACTGACCTCTCAGCGAGCGCTGCAGTAAAAGAGCAGCTTTTATGATGTAGGAGACGAACCTTTTAGAACAGTTCAGACACCGAATGCTCCTGTTTACCTTTCTCTGCGTCCTCCTCTGATCTTTGTCCTACACAACTGCCCCTGTGTTCTTGCAGAGTTCTCACCAGCGGGCACTAATAGCCTCTGCTTTTCCAACTTAATGGTCCTTGTAAACATTTCCACATAGCCATCTGCCTACTTCTCAATTTTAGGAGTTCTGTGCCATTTTTGTGGTTGGCCGTCTAGATTAGTTCCAATTTTTCGTGACTCCAAATGACACCCCAATACTGTCTTTGAATGTGCTACTTTTCCCTCTTATTCATTTCCTTGGGGTCCTATTTCCAAGAGGAATTACTAGGTCAAAGGGTAGGAACGATTTTGTGGCGCTTGTTGCAAATTGTGTGGTTATTCTCCAGAAAGAATGAGGTCATTTACAGCGCCCCAAGCAATGCATCAGTGTACCTGTTCCCCATATCCGATATTTATTAGCTTAATTTTTGTTAGTTCTAGAAAAGCTCTAAGGCCTCAATAATACACAAGGAGACTTCTAGCTTATGAGTTATCCATGCCATATTTTAAAAGATATCTCTTTTTTTTGTTGTTCAAATACTTGTTCAATTTAAGAAACACAGGAAATAATGGGATGAAGAGAGGGGAAAACCCTATCACCTTGATCTGTTCCTCATGCAAGGAAAGGACTCTCTGTAAATATCTTTCTGATCTTTTCCTGCACAACCTTTTTTTTTTTTAAGGGAAAAAAAGCCTTTATTTCATGGTTTAAAAAACAAAACCCCAAAAGAACTGTTTTTAAATAATTGAAATGGAGGGGTAAAAACAGACTTAACAATATGAGAATCATGGTTAGTAAGTAGTGGTCCCCAGTATTTTTAGGATATAGAAAACCAAGATAAGTATTCCAAGGGAAATACCACTAGTAGTGTATAAAAAATTAATTTAAAGAACAAGCTCTATGTGAACTTGGAGATATGCACTGGCCTCACTGTGGCAGGTCACCTCAGAAGTCCCAAGACACTGGGGTAAGCTTCAATAACACTATTATTGGTTGCAATTAGGATATAGTAACTTCTTTTTTTAAAAATAAATTTATTTTTTATTGGTGTTCAATTTGTCAACATACAGAATAACACCCAGTGCTCATCCCGTCAAGTGCCCACCTCAGTGCCCGCCACCCAGTCACCCCCACCCCCTGCACAACTTTTTATACGTGAAAGGAATCTGTATCTCTACACTAATATCTTTCTTTTAATAGTTTTATGACATAAGCAATTTCCTAGATTATTTTACTTCTAAGTAAACATAATTTTAATGTCTGCGTAACACTCCATTCCATGAATGAACTCTAATTTAGTCAAACCTTCCCCTATCATTAAATACTTAGATTATTTCCAATTTTATGCTTTTATCAATAATAGTCTGATAAATATTTTCATGGTAACCGTTTGTCTCCAATTCTGGTATTTCTTTAGAATGCATATCTTTAAGGGGATTACTGGGTCAAAGGAGCATGAATGGCTTCTAGGCTCTTGAAGCATAAAGACAAATCACTTCCCTTAAGGTCTATCAATATTCAGTCCTCTGGCCATCTAATTAGTTGCCAGTATGGAATGTTAATACTAATACAAAACAAAATACAAACCTTGCTATTTTGATATATAAGAAACAGTCATTTTTCACATCTGACTTCCAAGTCTTCACTTAGTAGGGGTGCAGCTAAGTTCCAAATATGTGTTGACCAGCTCTGCATCACGGTTACCTGTTAATGCTCTTTGCAGGACAGACTTTTTTTTTTTTTTAAGATTTTATTTATTTATTTCTGAGAATACACAGAGAGGAGAGAGAGAGGCAGAGACACAGGCAGAGGGAGAAGCAGGCGCCATGCAAGGAGCCTGACGTGGGACTCGATCCCGGGTCTCCCAGATCAGGCCCTGGGCCCAAGGCAGCGCTAAACCGCTGAGCCACCGGGCTGCCCCTGCAGGACAGATTTTTAAATCACAGGCTGACCCACGATGTTGCCCATTCCAGCCACATGCAAACATTCAAGCATCCTGGGCAAGGGAAATGCATCCTAATTTTTTTTAAAGATTTATTTATTTATGGGATGCCTCGGGGGCTCAGTGGCTGAGCAGCTGCCTTCGGCCCAGGGCATGATCCTGGAGTCCTGGGATCGAGTCCCACATCAGGCTCCCTGCATGGAGCCTGCTTCTCCCTCTGCCTGTGTCTCTGCCTCTCTCTCTGTGTCTCTCATGAATAAATAAATAAAATCTTTTTAAAAAAAGATTTTATTTATTTTAGAGCATCCTAATTTTCATTTAATCTAAGAATTAAGCACCTAAAAAAAAAAAGGAAAATCTGCTTCTTCACGTATCTTAGACACACAATGCTTTCTAACTTTCAATGTAAAGAGGTGTTTTGTTTGTTTGTTTACTAAGTCATTAAAAAAAGTTCCATGGCTCCCACTAAGCACAAAGGCAGTTTGCTGGTATAGTGAGTTCAAGTCAGAAGACATGGGTTCCAATCATGACTGGTAAGTCACTGGTGAGGGGACCCCGGGGTAAGTTGTGAGACTCTCATCTTCAGCTTTCATGTCCATAAAATGGAGATGGTGGTGCTTCAGGTCGGGGTTGGAGGACAAAGCAAATCATACACATGGGAACCAGCACAGGGCTTGCCTGTCAGTAATGTGCAACCACATGTCACTCAGCTACCTATTATTTGAGATTCCATGTGATCATCATTGTCCCCAGCTGCTGTCCCCAAGCTGGGGCAGCCCTTTGCCCCTCCCAGTCGCACAGGGAGGTGGGGGAAGGGTGGCTGGATAAGCCACTGTGAGCATCTGCTTCACTAAACCCATTCAGGAGTGGCCATCTCCCTATTTTCTCTGCACCATCCCTATTCCACAAAGGGTACCCTTATCTGGGCAGTTGGTCCCCTTCCTTGGCTTTTTCTCAAAACACCCTTTCCAGAAGGTGCTGGTGTGGAGCAGTTCTTAATGAAGGCTTCCCAGATTGAAAGGTCTGCATTCCTCTTCTCAGCCTCACCCCTTCCCATACACTTGCCGCTTCACCCCTTCTTCATTCCACTCCTCTGAGGTAGGTGAGCCTGTGTGGAGACCCGAACCAGTGCCCGGTGCTGGGGGGTGTCTGCCTCTGTGTGATTGCTGTGGGGAGAGCGAGGAGGTCCAAGTTCTCCCTTACCCAGTCTCCTGAAACAAAAGCATCTGAATTCAAATGGTTTATTTTCTCAGAGTGGGGGTTCAGGGGCAGGGAGTATAATTTTTGATAGCATAACAGAACTGAGAAAAGCATATGAGACTGAAATAAAACCTGGTAGGGACGTCTGGGTGGCCCTGTGGTTGAGCATCTGCCTTTGGCTCAGGGTGTGATCCTGGGATCCTGGGATCGAGTCCCACATCAGGCTCCCTGTGGGGAGCCTGCTTCTCCCTCTGCCTGTGTCTCTGCCTCTTTCCCTGTGTCTCTCATGAATAAATAAATAAAATTATAAAATAAAAGAGAGGCACCTGAGTGGCTCAGTTGGTTGAGCATCTGCCTTTGGCACAGGTCATGATCTCAGGGTCCTGGGATCGAGTCTTATGGCTCCCTGCTGGGTGGAGACTCTGCTTCTCCCTTTCCCTCTGCCTCCCCCACTGCTTGTGCTCTCTCTCTCTCAAATAAATAAGATAAGAAAGAAAGAAAGAAAGAAAGAAAGAAAGAAAGAAAGAAAAGAAAAGAAAAGAAAAGAAAAAAGAAAAGGAAAGGAAAGAAAAAGAAGAAAGAAAGAAAGAAAGAAAAGAAAGAAAAAGAAAAGAAGAAAGAAAGAAAGAAAAAGAAAGAAAGAAAGAAAGAAAGAAAGAAAGAAAGAGGAGAGAAAAAATCTGGTAATAAGATGGAAATGAGATCTAATAATTACACTGCTATTTATTTTGGAAACAGAGATTTTAAAAAAAAATAGCTCTGAACATCCTTTGGTAGAAGAAAGACCTACCACTGGATGCCTGCTTAATTTATACTCACACGTCCCAGGATGAAATCCCCAAGACTGCTGGGAATTAGGGATTAGTGTGACCTCCTACCCTCCCCCTCACATGGATGGACAAGGAAAGTCAAGATAGGTAGTAGAGATAGCTCTGGGATGCTGACCAACCCCCCCCCCCCAGGCCCCTTTGAGAGGGCAGGCTGATTCCTGGGGTGCTCCTGAGTCGCTGATTTCTCCTGCTGCCTAAACAGGAGTGGAGAGGCCTCAGGCCCACAGGGGTGGATTCTCCCTCCTACAAGACAGTGAACCCTGAGAGCTCCCTAGGGGAGGGGGAGCCGCTGGGCCCAGCAGAGCCAGGCGGACCAGTTCTGGGGCGCTGTCACAGGCCTCGGCTCCCTGAGGGGTACGGCTGCTCCAAGGGCTCTGGAGACCTTGGCAAGTGCCTGCGGGAACAGGTGTGTCAGGCGTGAGGCCTCAGCAGGCCCGGCAGCCCTGGCAGGGGAGGAAGGGCAAGCCTCTGCAGGCTTCCTCGGAGGTGGCGTTTGCAGCAGGACGTGCTGATTGCTGCTCCAGGTATTTGTGAAGAAAGAGCGAGAGAAATCCTGTAGGGGATCCTGGCCAGGACGCTGGGGGCTGACAGCTTGCAAGGAAGACTGGGATCTTCTCAGACACAACTACTTTTCAGGAGACACTACGCTATTCCTTCCTCTTGGGCTATGGCCCCTCAGTGGACCTTGTTGAGGGACCAACCTCTGGAGAGAATGAGGATGGCGGTCGGCACCTGAAGCTCTGGGGTTTTCTCCATCCCATTGTCGCAGGACTAGTCCCCTTAAAAAGCCAGAAAATGTAACTGCTGACCTGAGGTGGCAGGGGAGCCCTTTGGCACTGGGCCATTTGTGCTGTGGGCTCAGGGGCCCAGGAGGATGGGACTCATAGGACGTAAGGCGGGGCACAGGGCACCTGGTACCTACGTGCATTCGCTGGCTTGGGCTGCGTGACAAGGTGCCATACATGAAGGGGCTGACACAACAGAAATTCATTTCCTCATGGTTCTGGAGAGTAAATGTCTAAGATCAAGGTGTCAGTAGGTTTGGTTTCTTCTGAGGTTCTCCCCATGCCTTCACATGGTCTTCCCCGTGTGATTGTCCAAGTCTTTTTTTTTTTTTTAATTCATGAGAGACACAGAGAGAAAGGCAGAGAGAGAAACAAGTTCCCCACAGGGAGCCTGATGTGGGACTTGATCCCAGGCCCCCAGGATCATGCCCTGAGCCAAAGGCAGATGCTCGACCACTGAGCCACCCAGGCGCCCGGGCTGTCCGAGCTTAATCTCCTCTTCTCAGGATGGTATCATTTAGATTGGATGAGGGCCCATCCCAATGAGCTCATTTCACCTTAATTATCCCTTTAAAGATGCTGTCTCCGGATAGACTCACATTCGGAGGTTCTGGATGTTAGAATTTGGGGGGTACACCATCCAGCCTTAATAGTCTGTTTAGGAGGCTTTATTAGTTTTATCATAGCAGTGGCTGGCCAGTGGAGACCCGTCGGACTCCTGAGAGGAGGTGCTGTGCATTGGGCTCAAGTCCCCCGGGGAGTTAGACAAATATTTACTTGGGTGAATGTGGGTTTTTATTGGATGGCCTGTCTGGATGGTTTACCACCCACCTGAGACAATGAGGTCTTAGTACCTCCCAACTCTAGACCTGGTGGGGACCTACTTGAGTGGCCTTGTGACTCAGAAGCCCTGGCCCCAATATCAGCATCTTCCCTGGAGGCTGTCCTGGAAGGCAGATTTCAATCCCTCAGCTAAAAACCAGCACTCTCGGGCAGCCCCGGTGGCTCAGCGGTTTAGCACTGCCTTGGGCCTTGGGTGTGATCCTGGAGACTCGGGATCGAGTCCCACGTTGGGCTCCCTGTGTAGAGCCTGCTTCTCCCTCTGCCTGTGTCTCTGCCTCTCTCTCTCTCTCTCTCTCTCTGTGTGTGTCTTTCATGAATAAATAAAATCTTAAAAAAAAAAAGAAAAGAAAAAATCAGCACTCTCCAAGCTTGTGGCCGTACAACTACATTTAAGCTTCTAAATGGTGGGAGGTGGGCAGCCCGGGTGGCTCAGCAGTTTAGCACTGCCTTCAGCCCAGGGCGTGATCCTGGAGACCTGGGATTGAGTCCCATATCGGGCTCCCTGCATGGAGCCTGCTTCTCCCTCTGCCTGTGTCTCTGCCTTTCTCTCTCTCTCTCTCTCTCTCTCTCTGTGACTATCATAAATTTAAAAAAAATAAAATTAAAATTAAAAAAAATTGTGGGAGGTATGAAAGGTAGGGCTTTTTTCTTTGGAGAACCCACTCGTATGGAATGCCAGTAATTCAAGGAGGGCAGCACTAGATGGTCTGGCAAAAGGCACAGTGAGTGGACAGCATAGTTGTCATAACTTCCCAGCCCACGCTCACAGCAGACATGACTAATCCATCACAGCACCACCGAGCTACCACTCCTCCATTCCAAGCAGGATTGGCACTCTGGAGGAAGATGGTTTGCTCCCTGCCTCCCTCACCATATAGGGATGGTACCTTATCCCCTCTGCGTGAATAACCAAGGGCAGCTTCAAGCAGCGGCATGGGATTGTCAGAGGCATCCTCCCGGCTGGGCTGTGCCTGGATAGCCTCGCACCTGTGCTTCACATCGCACCTGTGCTTCACATTGCACCTGTGCTTCACATTGCACCTGTGCCACTGCAGATCATTTGGGTTCGGGCCCTCATGATTGTGAGCAGGTACAACCAGACATTGCCTCGCTCTGAGCCTGTGTCTCTAAGTCTCATTTCCTGCCCCAGAACCTCCTACAGCCGGGACTCCTTCAGGACTCCTTTTGGCCTTAGTCACAAAAGTGAGGCAGAATGAGTTTTTGTGGGGCCACCCTTGACTCACGGGGGATGGATAGAAGACACTAGAAAAGGCTTCTTTCTTTCGTCTCTCAAGAACAGTTTTCGGGCGCATTGCCTGAGGCTCCATAGAGCATTCTGGAAGAGCGGAGCATCAGCCACCTGGACGGCGCAGCATCCTTGTATTAGCTTGCCCTGCCTCCCGCTTCACACCCCATCCCTCATTCCCAACCCCCTGTGGACTACCAGCACCCGGATATTTGTCTCAGATTGCGTCCGGGTGGGGGAAGAACCCCGGGATCCCCCTCTTGCGCTGCCCCTTGTCCCCCTGTGCCTGGCAGTCACCTCTCCCCGAGGTCACCCCCCACGACGTCCCTGTAGTGCCTGGTGGGCGGCAGGGGACCTCCACGCCTGGCGTCCCTTGGGGCTGCAGCGGGAATTTCCGGGGGGAGCCAGGAGATGCAGCCTCGGGTCCCGGGGCCTGCAAAGGGCCAGGTGCGGCGGCCCGGGGCCCACAGGCGGCAGGTGCCTGGCGGCCGCGCACCTTCCACCTTCCCGTCCCTGTCTCCGCAGAAGCAGGCGGGTCCTCGCGCTGCTCGGGGCCGCGCTCCTCCTGGCACCTGCCGCCGCCGCGGCCCTGCTCACTCGCGCGCACAGCCTGCCGGTCGCGGCGGTCAGCGAAGCCAGGTGAGCGCGGCAGGTGAGCGCGGGCGGGGGCAGGGGGCGGCGGGCGGCGGGCGGCGGCCGGGCGGAGGCGGCACCGGGGAGCCCCGGAGCGGCCCAGCCCGCAGGTGGCCTTGCGGCCAAACTCGAGAGCCTTCCCACGTGCACTAGGGGGGATGGGGGGATGGGGATGGGGGAGATGGGGACGGGGATGGGGGTGGAGGTGGAGGGGGGAGGGGGAATGGGGGGGGTTGTCCCGCCCGAAAGGGGCCGCCCCGTGCGAGTGCTTCTCGGAGGAAGGGCGCGCCCCCACGTGGCTGCCGGGGGTTCTCCTCCGCGGCCCGCTGGGGATGGAGAGGCTGCCACGCAGGGACGAGGGAGTGGAACCCGCGGCCCTACCCGCTGTGCCATTGTGCTCCCCCCCGGGGGAGGACGTGCAGCCCTTCTCCCTTATAACCAGCCTGCCTGTCACATGGGGAACGTGGGACCATTCCTCGCGGATCTGCTCTCCGTGCAGCCGAGTGGGGCAGATGGAGCCCCCATCTTCTCAGTCACCGGCTCCAATTCCTCCCACGGCGCCGGTTGCTCTCGAAGTGGAATTCCTGCCTGACCTCCCCTGTCACTCCCCCACCTGCTGGCTCTGGACCAGTCAGACTAGCCTTTAAACCTCCACATGCCAAGCATGTTCCTTCCTCCGTCAGGCCCTTGCACCTGCTGTTTCCCCACACGAGAATGCAGGGCTTGCGCCTTCATTTCCTGTAGGTGTCGGTGCAAACAGCGGTTCTCAGAGCGGCCTTCACTGACCTCCCGATGTAAAATAGCCCTGAACCTTATCTGGCACTCTGTGCACAGTGTGCACTCTGTTTGTGAGGGGAAGGAAGGAAGGAAGGAAGGAAGGAAGGAAGGAAGGAAGGAAGGAAGGAAGGAAGGAAGGAAGGAAGGGAGGGAGGGAGGGAAGGGAGGGAAGGGAGGGAGGGATCTCTGGGTGGCGCAGCGGTTTGGCGCCTGCCTTTGGCCCAGGGCGCGATCCTGGAGACCCGGGATCGAATCCCACATCGGGCTCCCGGTGCATGGAGCCTGCTTCTCCCTTTGCCTGTGTCTCTGCCTCTCTCTCTCTCTCTCTCTGTGACTATCATAAATAAATTAAAAAAAAAAGGAAGGAAGGGAAGAAGAAGGAGGAGGAGGAGGGAGAGAAAAAAGAAAGAGAAGAAGGAAGGAAGAAAGGAAGGAAGAGGGAGGGAAGGAAGAAAGGAAGAAAGAAAGAAGGAAAGAAAGAAAGAAGGAGGAAGGAAGGAAAAGAAAGGAAGGGAGGGAGGGAGGGACGGAGGGAGGAAAGAAGGAAGGAAGGGAGGGAGGAAGGAAGGAAGGCATCCCAGATTTTGTGACCGGGGAGCAAGCACCATGCCCTTCTCATCACGTCACCAGCCTCTGTGGGCATTGCCAGGTGACTGAGGAAGAGGCTCATTCCCACCTGGCCCAGGGGTTCTCAACTCTGGAAGCACAAGAGAGTCACCTGGGGAGATTTTAAATCCACCGCTGCTTCCAGCCAGCGCCGCCTCAGACCACCTGAATCGCAATCTCCAGGGGTGTGGCCCAAGCAACCAAATTCTGTAAGCGCTTCCACGAAGAGGTGCAGTCCTGAGAACCACGTTTCTAGAGCTAGCCTGGCATACCAGCTACCAGAAACAACTCCTTAAAAAATGGATGCAGTCTTCATATTTCCTTGGGAGCCAAGGTGGGGTTGCCCAGGGAAATCTGGAATCTTAGCAAGTTAGCTGTGTCTCTAAGGTAAGATCATGAGATTATAGTTTGGGGATCATTACTGAGGAAATGAACAAATGTACCCCAAATTTTCCTTTGGATTTGCTGACTGTACCAATGGACATCTGAGAGATTCCCTTTCTCAGGTCCAGATCAAAAAGAAACTTTTGCCTTCCGTTTTTGTGTTTTTCAGTGAAAATGCGACCATGTTGTATTTCTCGGAGTACTACACTAAGCCCTACTGCAGATATGGGCCATTCCTCGTGGGCCTCTTGCTGAGCATTTTCATGCACCAAAACCACCAGGCAAACATTCTTAAAACCAAGGTAAGCCTGCCCCCTACCTCGCTGTAAGGCCGGGTCTGCTTGGGACCGGAGTGGCCCATTTGGCCAGGCTCGTCACAAGCCATGGGCAGGAATCAGACTGCTCAGTACTTTATTGTGCTGTGGTATGTTAGCAATGTTTCTTGGCTCTAGAGAATAAGAGAGATCTTATCTTCCTGCTGGATCCTGATTCTCTGCTTTCCTCACTGAGTTCCTTTAAGAAAGCTCCAGAATTGACCCCCTGTGGTGTTCCACCCATTGGAGCCTTAGTACAGACCCAGAGAACTCACTGCTATAGGAAAAACACACCTAGTGAATTTGCAATGGCAAGACTCTCTTCTGGATGGGCATAGTTATTTTTTTTTAAGATTTTATTTATTTATTCATGAGAGACACACAGAGAGAGAGGCAGAGACATAGGCAGAGGGAGAAGCAGGCTCCATGCAGGGAGCCCGATGCAGACTGGATTCGGGGACTCCAGGATCAGGACCTGAGCCCAAGTCAGACGCTTAACTGCTGAGCCACCCAGGCGTCCCTGGAAGGGCATAGTTACTTTTTAATAGCACAAACTCTTGGTTTCTATAGATCTTGGTCAGATTCAATGGTTCCATTTGGGAATCAAGATGTCTAAGGGGAAACAAGCTGTTGCTTTGTCTTCCAGGTAAAATTGCTTCCCAGGTAAAAAATGGGTAATTGTTCTGGTTTGCCACTCAGGCTTATTACTCAAGCCAGAAGCCTGGGTTTATCTTGGACATGTCCTCCTCACTGACCACTCCTCCCATGCAAATGTCCACCAGGCCCCCCGTTATTGTTTCTTCTGCTGTCCTCTCTTGGCCTAACTAACCTCACTGAAGCTCTTCTCATCTCTTGCCTTGACTTCTTGTCTTGTGCATCTCATAATCCACCCTTGGGCCAACCTATTTAAAACTCTACTTTGGTGTTGCTCTTGAACTGTACAAAAGCTCTTCATGTGGCTTTAATTGACCCTTAAGACCTTGAGGTCTGACTTACCACTGAATTACCAACATCTGATTCTGAAATCACTGAAGGCACTTAATAAATGAATGAATGAAGGTTAATTTGCTTTTCAATGGGCAAAAGGCCAAAAATTTCTTTGCACTATTAGAGTACAGTGATAGCCCCAAATCTTCTCTGCTAGGCCCTACCTTTGTTTACCTAGGTCTTGTGGGTGCCTCACCTAGATGCTCCAGAGAAGAGGCCTCTGTCCTTGGAAAATCTTGTGTTGCTCATGGCAGGAACAGGAGATAGAGCTTCACAAGACAGAATGGATACACAAAGGCTGCATGACTTTTCCTGTAGGTTGGAGTTATGCTGATCCCCTGAAGACGCATAATCCAGTTGTAGATTAAAACAGAATGCCATTAAAGACATGCTTCAGTGTCACCCGGGCTCCATGGTACCCAGGGAGCAGTGGGGGGACCTAAGACGTGGACAGAGCATTTGCGAATCTTCCAGGGGTTGAGTCAGGATCAGGGAGTATGGAGCCAGAACACAAGTCAGGCTGAGCTGGAGAAACAAGGTAGAAGGGATGGGTAGACCAAAGTCAAACCTCTAGAAGCCAGGAAAGATGGACACAGAGACCACGCTGGAGGCAGCGGGGGCCTATGCCATATGCTAGGAATGAGATGAGAGGGGGCATGCTCAGTGAAAGAGTGAAGGGGACCCTAGCCTAAAACAGAGGGCTTGTGGGGATCTCCCGAGGACAGACCTTTCTTCTCATGCAGCCAGAGCTTAGTGCAGGAATCTGATGCCAAGGAGAAGAGAGCTTCTCTCTGGAGACTAGATGGTGGACTGATAAGACGCTAGTTCGGTTCAATGGAGAGGTCATCATAGCAACTTTGAAATTGGAACAAGGAAGCTAGAAAGATTCTTGGAAGACAGGTCTGGGTCTAAACGGTCAAATTAGGTGACATAAGATCTAAGATCTTGAACTGAGCCCATAATAGAATTCAACCCACGGGGCTGTTCTCTGAGCTGAAGAGTTCTCCATTCTCTCGCTCTTCCACTATTTTATGACTCCCAAGGACAAGGGTCCAGCCCAGGTAGAGACCGTGTGCGTTGTTGGGAGACACAGAACCAGTCAAGGAGCTTTATTAGGTCAAGGAACAGAATGGGAGGTCAGGAGTGGATTAGAACATTATCTTTCTTTCTTCCCTTTTAACTTTCATTTCATAAGTATTCAAGGTTCATGGCAAGTTGCAAAAACAGCACAGAAGGTCTTGTGTGCCCATGACCCAGGTTCTTTCGCTGGCAACATGCTACAGAACTATGGCAAATGATCACAACCAAGAGATTGACACTGGCACAATCCACAGGCCTCAGGTCCACTAGTTTTATGTGCACTCATTTGTGCGTGTATATAGTTTTGTGTAATTTTAGCACGTGGAGATTTGCATAACCACCACCACAAGTGAGGCACAGAGCTCTGCTGTCATAGCAAAGAGCTCCCTTGTGATACTTCTTGTTGGCCACACTCCCCCCCTCCCCTACCCCGCCCTAACCCTAACCTCTCATAACCACTAGTCTGAACCTTCTATTTTAGTCAAACTTGGGCACCAATTGGGGTTTACAAATCGATACCTAAAGTGACAATAGTAACACAGAAAAGTGAATTACTGTAAAAGAAAGTAGATGTCCAAAATGGGCTTGACCCAGGTCTCTCCTCTCCCTGTAGGCGCAGGCTGTGCTGGGGTGGATTTGCTGCCTGTCTACCCTGTTCACAGTGGTCGCTCTGGCATACGTGGTGGATGACACCTTTGCCACCTCTTCACCTGCTGTGGCTCTGTACCAGGCTCTCCACCGGACCCTGTGGGCGGCAGGCGTGGGCTGGATCATGCTAGCGTGTCAGGAGGGCTACGGAGGTACGGCACAGCACGGGGTGCTGCTCATGGGCTCACACTGTGTCCCTTTAAGGGCAAAGAATGTGAGAACACGTTGTGCACAGAGGGGCTTTTTTGTTTGCTGGAGTGTTTGGTGAATGACATCAATTTGCTTCTATCTTGGGGGTGGGTGGGAACTGGCCACATATTCTGTTTAAGATTTTTACCCTGGTTTACGTACAAATGCAGGGTCTGAAAGAAAAATCTGCAGTCTCTCCAGTGAAGCTAGTTCAGAAGCTGGAGGAGAACAGGCAGGGGCTTATGGTAAAAACAAAATACCAGTGCCAGGGACAGAAGTTCTGGTCACACTCAGCCTGGGCCTCGGTTTCCTTATCTGAGGGTGTAGACTGAGTAGTTCCCAAGATCCCCTTTGGCCCTTTGATCTGGGAAAACCCGTTTCTATTGAGCTGGTTTTCAGTGTGTGGAAAGGTCAAGAAAAGAGCTGAAATGGAAAGGAAGGAATTTTCTCCAGATTAGAAATGTCTATTCAAGTCACCTGACACTCTTTCCTTTTCTTTCCCACTTGGCATGAGGTAAGAACTGGGTACTTGAGGTGTCAGAAAATGACAGGAGAAAGCCTGGCAAGAATCATCTAGAAAAAGTTCTGGCCCCACAGTGCCCAGAAGCTCCGAAGTGATGGCTGTACAGCCAGGTGCAGCCATGACACCTTGTGACCCTAGGGAAATAATCAGGGTGAGTTTACACCTGGGCCTGTGAACGCCACCCAGGTAGCCTCAGCGAAGGTGTTTGGAAATCATGGTTTAAAGAGAAAAATGATAAAAATGATCACAATTCCTGCTGACTGAGCGCAGGCTTATGCCAGGCCCCATGGAGAACTTCACCCATAGGATCCCGGGTGACACTGGCCACAGCCCCCATGGGTAGAACTATCAGGAGCTGTTTCTCTGTGAGAAAGATGATGCCTGGAGATGAGGTAACGTGTGAAGGTCACGCAGTGCAGTAGTCACTGAGCTAGAAAATGAATCCCAGACCAAGCACAAAGCGATGCCCAAAGCCCATGATCTTCATTTCTGTGCAACAGTACCCTTCTCAGACATTTGATTGGTAAAGTTGTTTTTGAATTTGGTGAGGAACGATTTGTTCTTTAATATTTCAAATTTATAAGCTTTTCCTTATATGGAGAAATGACATTAAGGAAGAAATGGGCTCCATTCTCTCTGACAGGTATTTGCATTTCCGGGCAGCTGTTGAATCACATGACCACACCCCAACACTGCTTCCACATGGTGACAATGACCCTAAACTGTCCCTAGAGCCTCAGAATATAAGCAACTACTCCCCCTGGCCCACGATGGGGTGGCAAACACCACAGTACTCCCGTCTGATGTGGAGAGTCATGCTAAATGAAGAACTAACCTGCTAGAGGGAGTGACTTCGGTCAAGTTAGAAGACTAATCGAATTTGCAGCATTATTGTTACAGTGGAGCTAGTCAGTGCTATCAATCATCAGGCTGAGTATGGATGAGACCTCTATTAATCCAGGCGACAGACCAGCCCTTTGGTTGTTCTTGAGTGATACAGCTTTCCAGAATGTGTTGTCATTAGCCAATCACAATTATCTAGGTGTGACTGATGTTCTAGGTTTGCATCTCCAACACTATTTTCAGGTATCAAGATTGGGTAGTAAGTGAATGAATGTACAAGATACAATTCTAGAAAATATGTGTCTACCTGGTGACCTTTAGAAAAGTACATCTATAAAGGGACACTTGAAGAAGAAGTGTTTCATGGAGGCTCTCAGGGAGAGAAGGGATCCCCATACCTCGAATCATCTGTCGTCATATCAGTCGGGACCAGTGTAGACCATGTGGGTCTGTGCAAAGTCGTGTTCCGTTGAGTTGCCAGAGGCATCTTCGGACATGTTACTCCTCCAGTTAAAACCTTTCAGTGCTGGGCCCACTCTCCTACAGCAATCCTCAAGCTTTAATACCATACGGACCCATTCCAAAGGAATAAGAAGTGTTTTAGATCTTTAGTATTATTGGCTTAAATTAAATTTTAATTCTAATTTTACCTAAGCATGAGAAAGCATAAGCCTAGACACAAATTTTTATGTTTATAACACATGAATTTATAAAGCCAAAACAAATTCAAAAAGTAACCATAAAAATGGGGCACCTGGCTGGCTCAGTCAGTAAAGCATGTGACTCTTGTTCTTGGGGTTTTGAAGTTCGAGTCCCAGGTTGGGTGTGGAGATTAGTTAAAAATACAATCTTATTTTAAATGTCACGTAACATAATTTGACCTGTGGTTAAAAAAGATTGCTCTGGATTTTGCATGGGGTCTATAGGGTGACAAGGACGAAGCAGAGAGTCCAACAGATCTGCGAGGAAGCTACGGTACAGGCCCATGGAGGAGGAAGCCATGGTGGAATCAATGGGGTGGGGGGTTAGTGGAGGAGATGGGGAGAAATGGTCTGATTTGAGATAGACATTTTTAAGGATAGATTGGCAGCACTCTGTGGGATACGGGAGGAAGAACAGAATCAGGGATGGCGCCAAAGATTTTTGTCCTGAGCAACTGAAACAACATGATACCTGAGCTGGGACTCTTGGAAAGGAGAGACGGAAGTTTTTTACTTTTTTTTTTTTTCCCCTCTCTCTTTCTCTTCTTTCTTTCTTTTGTGGCTTAAGACAACAGAAATTGATTCTCTCATCATTCTGAAGAAACCCAAAATCAAAGTGTTGGCAAGGTCCTTCTAGAAGCCCTGGGGGGATCTGTTCCGAGCTCTCTCCTGCCCACCCTCCCACCCCCACCCCGTGACTGCCAGCAAGACCCAACTTTCCTGGCCCGTGCGTGCATCTCTCCAATCTCTGTCTCCGTCTCCACATGGCCTTCGTCCCGTGTGTCTCCTCCATGTGTCTGTGTCTCTTTTTCTGTCTCTTATAAGGACACTCATTTTTGGATTTGAGGCCCACTGTAACCCTGGATAATCTAATCTCGGGTTCCTTACCTTCATTCTCTCTGCAGAGACCCTCATTCCAAATAGAGCAGGGTTCTAGGCGGACACAGCTTTTGGGAGGCCCCTATTCCACCCACTACAGAGATCAGCAGTAAGTCCTGTGCAGAGAGGGATTTCTCACCGTGCTTTATTTTAATTAATTTTTAGTTTATTTTTAAAAGATTTTATTTATTTATTCATAAGAGACACGCACAGAGAGAGAGGCAGAGACACAGGCAGAGGGAAAAGCAGGCTCCATGCAGGGAGCCTGATGTGGGACTCGATCCTAGGACCCCAGGATCATGGCCTGAGCTGAACACACTCAACCACCAAGCCACCCAGGTGCTCCAATACCAAATATTTCTCTTTTTAAAAAAAATTTATTTATTTATTCATGAGAGACACACACACACAGAGAGGCAGAGACACAGGCAGAGGGAGAACTAGGCTCCATGCAGGGAGCCTGATACGGGACTCGATTCCAGGTCTCCAGGATCACAACCCAGGCCAAAGGCAGTGCTAAACCACTGAGCCACCTGGACTGCCCTAACAAAATATTTCTAATAACCACGTCTTTAAAAGGACTTCAAGACTATTCATGTGAATATCAGAAATCCTGTTTTGAAGGAACTTTCATCTCTTTGCTTTGGATTAAGGAAAGGACAAAGTGCTGGGTATTTTAGCATATTGTGCAGTACAATCAAGATAGGTCTGTATGTTTTTATTACTAAAAATGTCAATTGAATTTTAAAAATTTATTGATTATGATTAGGAATGTGTTAATATAGGCTTTCAAGTAACAATGGAATTTTTTTTTTTAAAGGTCATTTCTTTTTTTTTTTTTTAATTTTTATTTATTTATGATAGTCACAGAGAGAGAAAGAGAGAGAGGCAGAGACACAGGCAGAGGGAGAAGCAGGCTCCATGCGCCGGGAGCCCGACGTGGGATTCGATCCCGGGTCTCCAGGATCGCGCCCTGGGCCAAAGGCAGGCGCCAAACCGCTGCGCCACCCAGGGATCCCAACAATGGAATTTTTTATGTAGTATTTTGTGTTTTTTTAGATCAGCTCATAAAATGTCGAATTCTGCACCTTTTGTTCTTACATTTATTAAATGAATTTTTTCTTTTTAAATTTTTTTTAAAGATTTTATTTACCTATTTGTGAGAGACAGAGACAGAGAGAAAGGCAAAGACACAGACAGAGGGAGAAGCAGGCTCCCTGCGGGGATCCCAATGTGGGACTCGATCCCAGGACCCCGGGATCACGTTCTGAGCTAAAGGCAGATGCCCAACCGCTGAGCCACCCAGGCACCCCTCTTTTCATTCATTTAAATTAAACAGCCTGAAGTGGGCTGTGGCTATCATGTGAGACAGCACAGTTCTAGAAGTTACACTGAGTTACAGAATTTTTGTCCTGAATGGAACCTAGAAGCCCCAAAGCCAGTCCCTAGCGGATGACAAGTCAGCAGCCTGGCCATGCCACCGCCTCATCCCGAGGCCCAGTGAGTGGCCCCTGTGCTGCACCCAGAGCCGGAACCGCAGCTGGCGCCGGGCCTGTGCACCTGGTTTTACCTGTGGCATGTTTCGTGCTCCGGGCTTGCCATGTGCTAAGTAAACCGACCGTAAACTCCTGTTAGCTTCTCTTATTTTTTCCCTACTCCTGCAAAGGGAAGCGCTTTCTGTTTTTTTTTTTTCTTTTTCTTTTTTGGCACATTCTCTTAAAAATTAGAAGAATAAATATCTTCCTAGGGGAAGTTCACACACTTAGGCAGCGGGGCCCAGAGGCCGCAGCGATGGTCCCAGGGAGCCAGGGAGGACCCCGTGCCCCCAGGAACCACACTGCCTGTTCCCTCCAGGCCCGGTGAACCGGCTGCTTTCTTGCCGCATCTGGACCTTCCCGGCCAGCATCAGTTACGCCTGCTACTTGGTACACCCCATCCTCATCCTGCTCTACAACGGGCTGCAGGAAACGCCCATTCACTACACCGACACCAACATGGTAAGTGAGTCCCGCTCTTGGCTCTGCTGTGCCTCTGCTGTCCCTTCTCTGCTGGAGCCACCAAGCCGCCCACCGGCCTGGCGAGAAGCTTGTTGCGTTGGTGTGGCTAGGAGCCTACTGTCCTTTGCCTTATTTGAGGGAAGGCTTCGGGATAGTAGCTTTCTTTGATTTTATTTATCTTATATTTAATGTTTGGGGCTGTTGGTCTTGCAGATCGATATCCTATAGCCAGGAATCCGGTAGCAAGATCATGTCCACTCTGCCCCTGTTTCTCTCCAGTTCTATCTTTTCTTTGGCCACTGTTTGCTGACCTTCGTCACTGGGCTGGCCCTGACGCTGTGCATTGAGAAACCATGTCAGGAACTGAAGCGGTACCTGCTGGGGCCGTTGCCTGCGGGGCCATGAAGGTTCTGGTAAAACCCGCAAGAATGGATGGGTTCGTTCTGTCGGTGATGAGTAAAAGCCAGCATGGTTTCATTTCTGTAATGAATGTTTGCTCCCCTGACAAGGGGTGTGAATCCTATTTTGTGAATGTTTAAGATACACAACTTCTCTGTGCTCAATATATATGAGTGCCGAGTGTTTACTATATAAAAGAATTCTGTGACAGCCTATTGTAGTAGCACAATAATCACCTCTGATGAACCTTTTCAGGAAAAAGAAAAACCAACCTGGATTTCTGGGGTCTCATCCTACATGTATTTTCTATACCAATGCTCATAGGAAAACATCAAACTTAGCGAATTGAATGAAATTTAGGTTACAGTGTTCACTTTTCTTGGTAAAAACCACAGCATGCAGTTTTTCACATCATAATTGTCTTTGTGTTATTATTTGTAGACCTGTAACTTTATCCTGGAGCCTAGGATCGTATGACCCATTGGCGTGTACAGTTCACGGGTGCGTTGTTACAGGCCTTCCAAACATTATCTGTTTTACGGTGTGATCCCTGGTAGGGGTTGAATGTGTCACTGAAAAAGATATAAAGTCCTAATCCTATAGTACCTTAGAATGTGACCTCTTTGGGGGTCAGGGTTTTACAGAGGTAATCAAGTTATTATTATTTTTAAAGATTGTATTTATTTATTTGAGAAAGAGAGCATGAGCAGGGGGAGGAGCAAGGGTAGGAGAAGCAGACCCCACACTGAGCAAGGAGCCCAATGCAGGGCTTGATCCCAGGACTCTGATCATGACCTGAGCTGAAGGCAGACACTTAACCCACTGAGCCACCCAGGAGCCCCAGAGGTAATCAAGTTAATGTGAGTTCATGGGGGGAGGTGGCCCTAATCCAAAATGACTGGTATCCTCATATAAAGGGAAAATCTGAACAGAGAGACAGATTTGCACAGATGGAAGATGTGAAAATGTACAGGAATAAGGAAGCCACCCGCCAGCCAAGGAACACCAAGGATTGCCAGGAGACACAGAGCTAGATGAGGTGAGGAAGGACCCTCCCCTGGAGCCCTCTGAGGGAGTACAGGCCTGCCGATACCTTGAGTTAGGACTTCCAGCCTTCCAGAACAGTGAGATGGTGCGTATCTGTGGTTGTAAATCAGCTAGTTTGTGTTGCTTTGTTACAGCAGCCCCGGCAAAGAAATACAGTTGGTCAACAAAACTCCCAGTGGAGAAGGATGAGACCTAGTGAGTGGCTTCCATCCCGCCCCTTGATTTCCAGCAGTGAGACCTTGAAACAGAGAGATTTATAAAGCCAGGCTGTCCAGGCTGTCAGCCTTGTATTCCTTCCTGGGTGTGTGATTTCACATTAACCATCCCTACTCATGGGACGCCTGGGTGGCTCCACGGCTGAGCGGCTGCCTTCGGCCCAGGGCATGACCCCGGGGTCCTGGGGTCGAGTCCTGCATCGGGCTCCCTGCATGGAGTCTGCTTCTCCCTCTGCCTGTGTCTCTGCCTCTCTCTCTGTCTCTCTGTGTCTCTCATGAATAAATAAATAAAATCTAAAAAAAAAAAAAATCCCTACTCACATATGCTTAACATCACTTACAACAACACTCTCTTTGTGTACTTAAGAATCAAAGGATTTATTAACAATCATGAGGCTACAAGGAGCTAATTAGCACGGAATGCTCCCCATCTCTTAGGCACTACTCTCCAAGTGGATCTGCTAAGAGGACCACTGGGGGTGGGGGTTGCTGCTAACCTCCAGTCCTTTGAAAGAGCACTTGACAGCTAATCTTGTCCTTTTCTAGCTCGCCTTGGGGAGCCATATCTCCCAGAGGCCTGGTCTATTCTGCTGAAAGAACCTGAGGTAAGCGAGGAGGCAGGTCCCTGCTGCCAGGTTCAGTATCTGTGTTAGATAGAACACACCGCGTGGGCTCTTTGGGGAACCCCAAGGTTCGTGGAGTTCCTCGGGAGCCCCCTGGTGGCTGATGTGGCACCTGACCCCTCCGACTTCATTAGCCCTCAGAGGAGGGCCAGTGGCGTTTACAGGAGGAACACTGCAATCTGGACAGCCCCGTGGGAAATGACTGGCCTACCAACACTGCTGGGCAGTCAAATTGCCAAGTGCTTCTAGTTATGAGGCCAGAAACCTGGGGCCCGTGGAAATAGCTTTCATAACTGCTAGCAACATCGCCTCTGTTAGTTTTCTTAATAAGGAAAAAAAAATACCCTCTCCACTACTGCAATTTCATAAAATATAAAGTAGGGACAGAGAAATCCAATTTTGCTCTGGCTTTTGTTTTGATCGGGAAATCCCTAGGAGTTTAAGATTTATAGAATAGGGGGACCTTCTTTGGATTCCAAAACAAGCTGTAAAAAAGCACATGACATTTATGAGACAGCTGGAAATTTGAACACTGCCTGTATATTTGATCATATTAAGGACTTATTAATTTTTTAATCTGATATTGGTATTGCGGTCATATTTAACAGCTCTTATGTTTTAGATGCATAGTGAAATATTTATGGACAAAATGATAAAAATTTCGTATTTACCTCAAAATAATATCAGGAGGAAGTGGGATAGACGTAACAAGACTGGGCATGTCGTGATAATTTTTGAAGTTGGGTGATGGGTACGTGGGACCTTATTATACTGTTTTTTTTTCTATTTTTGTATATAATAAACTCAAGCAAATAATGAACTCAAGCAAATTTATAAAGGCAGCAACATCAGCATAGAGTAAGCCTCAATTGATAGGTGCCTCCTCTAATTCTTCCTAAATTTTGAAATCCATGTTCGTCCCCAGGTACCAACCCATGGATAAAACAGGTCACATTGACAGTATAGTCGTTCCCAGCAGATCTAAAGGAACTCCAGTCCTCCTTAAGTTCCTTCCGGCTGGTCTTGGGAGCGTCTAGATATCTTGCTTGTCTTATAAACACCTGGACCCTCCTAGTTCCTTTTTTAATGGGGCTGGGTCTCCTCAGAGCTGTCCCCTCCCCCAGTCCTGCCTTTGGATTGCTGAGACCTGCCAGTGGGGTCAGTGCCCCCTACACCTGCTGTCCCCACTCCACTCTCCAAAGCATGCCACCTCCTCCTCTGACTTCTCTGGGCAGCTTGTGGGCTGGGCTAGTTTGGTGCTCAGGCCACTGTGTCCATTCAGAGCACAAATGATCTCCACAAATACCACAAGCTGTTAGGTCCCCTCTGTCCCCCCTTATGCCACCTGTGCTTTCTCATTCAGGCTTTGATGTGGTGCTGCTAAGTGCTCAGCTGCTCAGTACATTTTTATAGAAACTGCTCTTGCAGATTTGCCTTATTCTAATAGAGGTCATTCTCCCTTGGGTGCACTGCGAGTCTATGGGCGCTCAGAGTGACAATTGCTTCCTCTTTACATTTGCATCCTGTTCACCACTAGCCCTGACCACCATGGCTGGCACCCAGTAGGTGTTCGATAAAAGGCAGCTGGCACAGTGATAGGATCAACTACTTCTTTTTTGGGGAGTGAATTCTTGCACAGGAGGCTTCTCATGCATACAGGCAGGCACCTCTCCACCAGGTCTTGGATACAGTCAGCGTTTGTTTGTTTGTTTGTTTTTTTAATTTATGAGAGACACACACAGAGAGAGAGAGAGAGAGGCAGAGACATAGGGAGAGGGAGAAGCAGGCTCCCTGCAGGGAGCCCTATGTGGGACTCCATTCTGGGACTCCAGGGTCACACCCTGGGCCGAAGGCAGGCACTAAACCACTGAGCCACGGGGGCTGCCCTGATTTATTTGTTTTTAAGATTTTATTTACTCCAGAGAGAGAGAGAAGGAGAGAGTGAGCAAGAGAGCAGAGGGAGGGGTAGAGGGAGAAGGAGAGGCAGAGAATCCCAAGCAGACTCTGTGCTGATGCAGAGCCCCAGGCGGGTTCCCATCACTCCACCCTGAGATCGTGGCCTGAGCAAAATCCAGAGCTGCACACTTAGCTGAATGAACCACCCAGGTGCCCCTCTGTCAGCTTGTTAGCTTCTCACTCTTAACCATGAGCGGAACAAGGTTCCCACAAACCTACGAAAAGTCTTTAACATCTGGAAGACCGAGTCTAAAATTAACACACACAAAGCAAAAGAATTTGGAGGGAAGAGGTTACATAGGGAAAAAGAAAAGCTACGAGAACCATCACTGTCCTTGAAGAGATGAGAAGAGATGAGAGAAGATACTGCCTCCAGTAAAGATGTGGAGACAAAGCCGTGATCCTTCTTTCTTTTACTTAGTCATTCAATGACCAAATATTTCTTTTTTTTAAAGTTTTATTTATTTATTCATGAAACACAGAGAGAGAGAGAGAGGCAGAGACACAGGCAGAGGGAGAAGCAGGCTCCATGCAGGGAGTCCGATGCGGGACTCGATCCCAGGACTCCAGGATCATGACCTGAGCTGAACACACTCAACCATCAAGCCACCCAGGTTCCCCCCAAACCAAATATTTCTAATAACCACGTCTTTATAAGGACTTTAAGACTATTCATGTGAATATCAGAAATCCTGTTTTGAAGGAACTTTCATCTCCTAGGCCGGCCAGAGCAGGGAAGAGTGGCCTGGGGCTGCATTTTGCTTTGGATTAAGGAAAGGACAAAGTGCTGGATATTTTAGCATATTGTGCAGTGCAGTGTGGGTAGATCTGTATGTTTTTATTACTAAAAATGTCATTTGAATTTTAAAAATTTATTGATTATGATTAGGAATGTATTAATATAGGCTTTCAAGTAACAATGGAATTTTATGTAGTATTTTGTTTTTATTAGATCAGCTCACAAAATGTCGAATTCTTCACCTTTTTGTTCCTATATTTATTAGATGAATTTTTTCTTTAAAAAATTGTTTTAAAAGATTTTATTCTATTCGTGAGAAAGGCACGAGAAACACACAGAGAAAAAGGCAGAGATACAGACAGAGGGAGAAGCAGGCTCCATGCAGGAAGCCCGATGTGGGACTCGATCCCAGGACCCCAGGATCACACCCTGGGCTGAAGGCAGGTGCTCAACCGCTGAGCCACCCAGGTGTCCCTCTTTTTCTTTTTTTAAAATTAAAGTATGATTTATATACAATAAAATCCATTTTTTAAAAAGTGTACACTTTTCTGAGTTTTGACAAATCCATATATTGTCACCACCATAGGCAGGATATAGAATTCCATCACCTCTCAACATTTCTGGGTCTCCTTTAGAGTCAACATCTATACTCACCCCCAGCCCTTCGCAATATCTATTTCCCATCCTTATAGTTCTGCCTTTTCCAAATATATTTATCTTTTGAAGTTTAATTTAAAAAAATAAATATTTCAAACATTCCAACAAGTCTAAAGAAGTGAAACAATTGACAGCCCACACATCCATCATCCCTAATAAACACGGGCTTAACATTTTGCCATTTTTCTTTTAAATGTGTTTCTTTTTATTTAAAAAATAAAACGCAAAAAAAAAAAAATAAAAAAATAAAACGCAACTGTAGACCTCCTGCATCCCATTTCCTTCCTCCCTTCTTATCCAAGTTTCATCCATGTTTTTATATTTTTACTAATAACACACATATGTCTATAAATGTTATACAGTATGTTGTTTTTAAGCACGATATAATTGGATCTATGC